CCCCTGTATTAGAACAAGAAGCAGAGCTTTGAAATGTCCTTTAAGATGCCTGGAGAATTATTCATGAGGACTACTTAAAGAAGATACAAGATAGCCTGCCTAAGGGAATTCAGACTGTGTTGAATAATAAAGGCGGTCATGCCAATTATTGACTTTGAAGCTTGTTGCAATTGTATACTCTGCATGGTCATGGGCGATCAAGGCTTATTGATGCATTGGGGAGTTAAAAGGCTGCCCCATGTGGTTGAATCGCAGAGACAACCTACTGTACCTCAAACTGCTAAAAAAGTTCATGCTGGTTCAAACAGAAAGGTGTCAGAATACACAGTGCATCACAGTTTCTTGTGTATGGGGCTGACCCCATTACAGTGAACCCATTACCAGATCCTGACAGCTTGGTATTAGGCTTGTAAGGACAGAAATCACTCTTGGTGATGATTATATTATGCATTTCTTCAAGACAAATTTTGTGTAAGTGTACTGTGGTTCTAAACAGACAGAAATTTAGAGGAGTTCCTGCGCTGCAGATCCGGAGTAAGTGGGATCACCCTTAAAAACAACCTTCAGCTATGATTTCTATGTAGCTCATATGTAGTTCATGTAGAAACTATGTAGCCAGTAGACATCGCAGAATGTGAGGTAACATGTTCATGATGGCTAAACATCTAAGATAATGAGAAGTTGAAACTACCTGAACATAGAAACTGGACAACAGGAAGTATCAGTGTATTGTAAACTCTAACTCTGAGTCACACAAAAGTTTAATTAGAGGTAAATATTCTTCCCATCACCATAAAAAGACATCCCCAAGTTGTCCTTGATCACAGATGCAGATGTAAGCAATGTGAAAAAAAAATCTAATAATTTAAACAGGTGTTACTGAATGAAAAACTATTAAAAACTAAGTACATCATTTCTGCTTCCATAGGAATTAAGCGGGTAAGTAGCAGCCAGGTGCTGCTAATCAAATGCACTTGATTAACTGATCATCAACAAGTTTGAGCACCTCTATAAGCAGCAGCATTTGGTAGTATATTGGTCTGAAGCATTCAGGTGTGTGTTAATACAATGATTAATACCAAATGGTTAAAAAAAAAAAAAACAAGCACAGCATATCTGCACGAACGCCTCATACGAACTGTCAAACACGAGGAGGAAGGTTGATGACTTGGGTTTGTTTTTCAGCAACAGCACCTAACCACCTCACAGTCACTGAGTCAACCATGAACCCTCTGTATCCCAAATGATTCTAGAGTACAATGTGAGGCTGTCTGTCCCGACAGCTAAAACTTAGCTGAAACTGGATAATCCAACAGGACAATGATGTCAAGCACAGCAGCAAATCTACAACAGAATAGCTGAAAGAGAAAAGAATTCTATTCAATCTCCATTGAAATGCTGTGATGGGACCTTAAAAGAGCAGTGCATATACAACTGCCCGCAAACCTCAATGAACTGAAGCAATGTTGTAAAGAAGAGAGACCCAAAATTCCTCCACAATGATGCAAGAGACTAATAGTCATACAGAAAATTATTACTTCAGTTTTTGCTGCTACAGGTAGACCTACAAGCTACTGAACCATGGCCTGTACAAAGTTTTTCACAGGAATACAGAGTCTTGTATAAGCTTTCTTTTTCACCTAACCATAAAACATATAAAACAGCCAATAATTTTGCCAAAGGAATTACAAAACCTAAAGTACATGAAATGAGACTGCCTTTGTTGTTTATGTTCAGCCTGAGCATACTGTAAATTGACTGTAATAAAAATGTTCTATAATTGCTCTATATAGAAATATTCAATACATTTTAAAACCTTGAGTTAGAGAAAGCTGTAGCATATATAATAATACTAATGATGCATTATATGGCATCACTAGGCCCTTTTATATGCCAGCTTCTGTTTCAGTGCCCAGCAAAGTGTGACAGCTTGTGTTTTCTGCTGTCACACTTTGCTAACTAAGACTAAAGTCACTTATAACTGTGTCCTTCCATAACCTCACCCAGCTTGCTGTTCCTGGCAACGACGCATTGCCTACATATAAAAACTGTGATTAAAAACATGATGATTACGGAGGGGAGGCTGATAACAACCTGGTGAAAGATGACAATGTCAATTGACAGTGAAGAACCCTTGACCCTGACGCCATGGCTTCTACAATAAAAAATCAGATTTACTCTTATTTTAAATAAGTATATATTATATGGCATTATAATTGTTTCAAAAACATTATATTGGTGATGGGTCATTATGAACATTAGAACAATTTACTGTTGCTTGACTTAGACTTACAAGTCAGGAAGCCTAATGTGGCAGAGAACATTCTTACAAAACATGTTCCCACTAAACTGAAACTTTGAAGCAAACAAATGAAGGGAACTAAAGAGATTGCAATACTTCAAATAAGGCTGGTTCAAAAAGCAAGTCAGTCGACACAGACTCGTGTTAATTTTTATGGCAGAAATGAACATATTTACAGCCTGATTTTTTTTTTTAAAGAAAGGATATTGGTCGGATATTGATCTCCTGCATTATTAGAGACGTAAACGCTAACAGTCAGGTGTTTCATGTATTGGCTGCTAGACAGTCCTAGACATATTCTAATGTGCTATATAAATGAATTGGAGCTCTGGTAAGAAATATTGATAAATTAGTTGACTTGCTGTGCAGTTCATTTTGGTAACAGATTGTTCAAGAAGTCTGTTTTATATACTGAAATTCTAGTTTTTCTAATAGTTGAGCTAATTAGCAAGTATCTGTGCCTGTACACTGAACCTGCACAGTCTGCTGACAGATCTTGTTAACCAAGCTTGATTGTCCCCCCTTCCCTTACCCCCCAAATTAAAATGGCAGTAGCCTTAAAAATACAGTTGAGGCCACATAGAAAATTGGAGCCCACAAAAAAGTGCTTTCTACATTTGTGTTCTAATGTTACTAATGGAGAGCCTTGATGTGTTACTTCAAAGAAGTCTCCTTTGGAGGTGAAAAAGATGCTTTTCATTTTTTGTACGATAAATTCATCCATCATATATTGTCTGGAAGAATCTTCAGTTATTAAGGGCTTTCTCTTAATTTATCAGTCAGCTGCATGTGTTTCCCCCGTATATGATAAAGGCATTCATATCAAACGACAGTGAGACACAGAAGCTTTGCAGGATTTGATGTTTGCCAGACGAGAATGTTATTCTGCAAAATCCTGGATTAAAAGGCAGGAAATATGGTGCAGAGGGTTTCTTTTTTAAATATGACTTTTAAAAAAAACAAACGTATTCAGCTACTTCAGCAGTGTTTAGGTTAAAATATTAAAATTAATGCAAAAGTAATTAACAACCAACAAAAACTACCATCAAGGTATGTTTGAGGTCAAATAAATCATCCCAAAATAAATAAAAGATTGTGATTAGGAGACAATAAAGTAATGAATAGTGATAAAGTCTGCTCCCTGCAGCTAGGTGCACGCACACTTGCTCCATCCACTCTCATGTAAAATATTACATCCAAGTCATAAACACTATCAAACATGGATGCTAGCTAGCTTCCTGGTTGATTAAATTAAGCCAATAGTCTAAAAACTTGCATTCTGCTGCAAGGCCACCGGATGGGGAGATATGGTTGTAAAAAGATTTCCAGTCCTGTAGAATTCTATGGGGTAAATATTTTCTTTGTTGATTGCTTCAGTTCTTGAGATTATTGTTATTACTTGGGAGTGAATTGTGTTTAAGAATGCACTGCACACCTAGCCTTCAACCTTTGCTAAAGTAATTTGAACACTGTAAGATTTTGTATAGTCCTATTTATGGTATTAGTATCAGTGCCAGCTAGTGGCACGCTGATGCTATCTAGTGGTTAACAGTATGAACCATGTTGGCTCCAAAACTTAATGTTCTTTTAAAATTAAAGACAAAAATATAAATTTGTAAGTAGCTACCTACAGTGTAATTATGTACTTTGTGATATTTGACAACTTTGCATACCATATCTTGTCATCAGACTCCTATTATTGCTGATCTACAACTTTACCTCCATAAAGCTGGTCTCAGGAGGGACTCTGATGACTTTCTTTCTTATAATTTTGACCCTAGTCTTTATTGATGCACACTCACAGTCACACCTACAGCCAATTTAGAATCGCCCAGTAACCATGGCAGGAAGCTGGAGTATGTGGAGAAAACCCACACAAGTACAGGAAAACTCCACACAGAAAGGGTAGAAAGCAGAGGAGAAAATGTGTTTGTGGGAGAAGAATAAGACAAGAAGAGGTGTGTGTGTGTGTGTGTTTCAGTGAACAGGAGATGGGTCAGCTAAAGGGTCAGATGGGTGTCTCAGGTCCTGTGTCAGGTTTTTGCTGCTGCTGTTTTTTTTGTTTGTTTGTTTGTTTTTGTTTTTAAGGCAGAGACCTCTTCTTTTATCCTCCACTTGTCCAGTTTCTTCAATTGACTATACCAAGATATACCAAGTTCTTGGCTAAAAGGTCTTTGAGAATCACTTTAAAAAAGAACTACTAGTTCATGCCGGTCAAACTGTTATGTACGGCATTATTTTTTTGATTCAGTGAAAGGAAGGGCTCACTAGTTCGCTCAGTCTTCTGGGGGAGCAGAGAAGGAGATGAGAGACAGGAAGGAGACAAGAGCAGGTGTGTGTGCATGTGTGTGTCTGTGTGAGGACACTTAATTAAACATAATCTTATCCTTTTCAATAACATCATGATAATATACACAAAAGCTGGTGAGTGCACTTCAAACATTTGTGTAAATATATTACACATAATATACAACATGATTGTTACTTCCGTACAATTGTGGGCATTTAAATTAAAAACAAACAAAACACATAGCTAGTTTTGATTCAGTACGCTAAACCCTAGCATGGCTGGGTTTACCCTTTACAAAATGTCTTGTGTTGATGAGTTAGTGAAATAACTTTATCACTGTGTCTTATGATACAACATACATCCTCTTTGTTGTTGATACTGGGTGTAACCGTGTATATCTTGCATCTGTCCATTGCCAGCTATTTTATTTTTTACAAATCCAGCCAACTCTCAAGTTAATGTGCATTTTTCAATCTGACAAGCTTCAGTTTTCTGCATTCTCTTCAGCGTCCTCTTATCACCACACTGTGCCAGTGTTGCTGTGGCCCTTCCACTCCATCTTAGTCTGCTGTCCCTTTAAAACAGGGGAGAGATGTAAATGTCTTTGGAGTAAAGGGTAGCATGTGAAGCATTCAGTTGAGTGAGTCTGGATTACCTCTTTTAATGTCTGTGTCACTCGGGTTGTTTGAACAAGGAAAGTTCAAAGGATTAAGCCGATTCGCTAATGAAGAAGCGGGGCAAAGTCTAAAACCCATTAAACTCTTATTAATATAATTGTCCTGTCCGAAATCAATCATCACAATTGACTCTGGCCTGGAGACGGGGCACAAATAGTGGCTTCGATTTTGCACTAAAAAAGCGGTAAATATAATGGGATTAAAGAAACTCGCTAATTATAAATAGCATACTGTGTAATTTTACGGGGGGGAGAGACATGTTGCCACCAGCAAGGAGACACAAAGTTGAAATCCGGTGGATCACAGTGATTTATCTTCAGGGTTGAGCTAGGCGGAGCGAAGCATCCCCCCCGATAGACAGAAGCAGGCAGTCCGGGGCGGAGAAAAGTTACAGCTTGGTGGAGTTGTTTCTCGTGCTGCTACGGCTCGCTACACATTACCGGTGTCACAAACTAATTGTTTAGAACACAGTGACAAAAGCTAAGTAGTCGCTTGACTCTAGCTAACAAGAACGGCACCCGGGAATAGTTGAAAAGGAAACAAATACTTCTTCGACAAGAAGGTATGGAAATGACTGCATCTTACACTTTTTGTCCCCACTTGTGCACTTGTTCGCTATTCATTTCCTTTCCGCTTAATATCTCTGCTTCACTCTGTTTTCTGGACGATTTTTTTCATTTAAAAAATCTTAGCTGGCCCACTTCAGTCAACTTTTTGTGGGTGTATTGTTTTCAAAGGCCAGTGTCGGTGCGTACACACAGTTGTCATGACAATGCTAGGGAAACCCTGCGCGAGGCACGTTGAGAGACACAAAAGGACCCCGGCTTAGCTTTGCTTTTAAACTTTTTTTTTAATTAAAAAACCCCAAAGAGTGTTCTTTTTTTGTCTTTTACCCGTCAACGAGAAAGATATAAAAAACAAACAAACAAACAAAACAAAACAAAACCAAAAAAAAAAAAGCGGCTTTGTCAACATTTATTTATTAGTATCCTGTGTCAGTGGAAAGAGGAGCACTTCGGGGGAGGTAACGAGGTCAGAAGGATATGTGGAATCTGTTGGGCTAAGGTGTGTCCTGTGTTTATATGAGGCAGATTGTGACCCTGCCAGTCAGGAAAAGGATGCTTTTAGTCGGCCCTTTGCTGCTTTATGGTCAGCACACATGTGGAAATGACTGGCTTCTACAATAGAGAGTTAGCAACACACAATTGTCTTAGGGGAAAAGGAAAAAGATGTGTGTGTGTGTGTGTGTGTGTGTGTGTGTGTGTGTGTGTGTGTGAGTGTGAGAGAGAGAGAGAGAGAGAGAGAGAGAATGGAAGTAGTAGCTGTGTGAATGACAAAATAAATACATGTGTTACACTACGGTATGTTTGCATTTGTGTGTAGATGGTAGGAAACTGAGGACTGGGTAACATTAGGTGGTCATCAACTTACGGGTGGGGGTTTTTGAAGGTGGGTGGAGGGTAACTACAGTTCAGTCATACAGCAGACACACCAGACGGAGCAAATTGGGACCTACTGGCTGGAATGAAGCTGGCAACACGCAGGATAGGAAAGCTTTTCGCTCAGATGACTCATGGTTATGCTTGTTTACAGTCTTGTGCAAGGGAAGTTTTCACTATTCCAGGTGCTTAAAGATGAGTGTCTCGTGAACCGGTGCCATGCTTGTCATTAAGTGCAGTGCCAGCGAAATACTCTAACATTAGTAACCTCTGAATACAGTCCAAGCTGTGAGTACTAGGATCCCTAAATATACCTTTAAAATAATAATTATATTCCACAATAGTTCTCTCTTTATGGATATATGAAGGTATGAATTTATTGGTGCCTATTCTCAAAGCTTCCTTGACTGTCAGTGCAAAAGGCAAACATATTCATGGTTAAGCCTTTAAAATATAGTACAGTAGAGCACCACTTGTGCTAATCTGAAGCAGGCTGAACAAAACCTGGAATGAATGCATAATGGTGTAGTTTTAATAACAGGAGCTATTACAGTTGCATACTTCCTTTCCTCAATAGGAATCATGCTTTCAAAGATAATGCATGGCTGCATCGATCATTTATCCTCCCTTGGATCTGTGGCAACCTTCCGTCTCTGCTTGTGTGTCGGGGCATGCAGCCGCATCTCCTCAGCCTAGCTTGTGCCCGTAGGGCCTGGAAGCACATTTAAAAAAAAGAAGAAAAAAAAGAGACACTAAACATACAAGCACACACACTCATTCACACACTCATGCACACGGGGGCAACATGAACAAACCTACATCAAAGATACATCTGTTTCTTATGCATGTTTGATGGGACAGGCAGGCAGCGGCTGGCTACTGCTCCTGCTTACCGTACAGCATGGATCAAGTATGCATGACTAGGTGGAAGGAAAGGAAAGGTGTATACCTTACAAATATGTGAAAAGAGAAATAAAACATGCCGTTTTTAAATGTTGCTTTAATCTTTTATCATCATACAGTAGGATTATCAAAATCTAGCTAGTGCTGGCAGAACTAGAGAGCGATAATAAAGCCGAGATACCAGTGAGTCAATAACACTTTGCTCTGTTGTGGAGTCGTCTTTTGTTCTTGCTGTTTGATGTATTGTTGTTCTTTTTATCTGTGAACAGCTGGTATAAATTGCTTTGTCTGGTTGTCTGTCTGTTGACCAAACTCTGCCATGCTGGGACACAAAAACTCAATCGACTGGTTCCCCAAACAAAGAGCACAAGGGCATTTATGCTCGGTGGAAGTCTCCATTTATTTTTGTTTCTTTATCAGAATCAGTCCATTCCAGGGCACATTAGTCTCAGTTTAGTACGGTTTGCCACATCAGACGTAAAAATAAAAACAAACTAATAACTTCATTGCATGTCATGTAATCCCAATGCCCTCCTCTGTGATATCAGTATGATGTATTCAGTTAAAAGTAGGAACTTGACCTTACAGCACATTTCAGCATCCGCTGTCTTTTCTTAGCCAGAGATTTCCTACCATCAGCAAAAGATTGGCTCCTAATCCCTGTATTTTTATTTTATTTTTTTGGACTGCAGTAGATCTTGGCACAGGGAAATAAGCACATCAAAAATGTAACTGAAGTTCACCTTCCAAAACATTCAGCACTTTGGATCAAGGCAGCATCCCGTCGGTTCAATCCGACAGTGTGTTTTTCCTCTCGCCAGATGTTCAGCTTAATTAACATGCAGGCTCGGGGCGAAAGAGGTGTTAGCACCCATATGCAGTTTATCCAGGTGCTGCAGCTCTGCATAATTGCCTGACATTTACATGAAAGCTATTGATTAGATTCATGCGCATTGTACTGATTCAAGTTGAGCTGTGTATGTGTGAAGAAAAAGAAAAGAATAACTGTCACTGTAGACCTGCAGCAGTAACTTGATTAGTCAATCACAGGAAATGAAAGAGCAACTGTTTTAGTAATTTAATTGTTGAGTAACAGTTACTTATTTAGAAAAAACCTTCCTTGGTACCATATTGTAAATCTCAGCCTTTGTGATTTGATTCTTTTTTTTTCTTGTAATGCTTTTAGCTAATCTTAAACACTTATTTTCTTTTAATAACCTTTGGAAAGTTCACCTATACTTCTAATAGATCCACTGCTGTACTAAAATCCTTTATATGCTGGAAGTCCCAAATTATCATGATTGCATTTGGCTCAAATACTACAGCTTGACTCTTCACTGGCAAACATGAGCGTGTCTGCCCTAGTATAGTAATATTGGCAATAGTATAGGATTAATTATAAAAACATTTTTGCTTCTTTAAATGTCCCTAAAAGGGCTATGGGGATCTTTTTCCACTAAAGACTTTCAAAAGTCGACTAAAAACTAAAAACTAAACTCTCAAGCATATTCAGATTGGGCTTAATCTTAAGACCTATGGTCTGGGTTTCGCAGTTCTGAAACTGAGACCAGATTTGCTTGTTTTGTCATTATGTGCTAGTTTACAAGTTTTGCCTGACATATTTTTCTGTATGTTTATAGCTTCACCAGATAACAGGACACGGACCCTTTTCTTTGTTTCACGAATCTCCAGAATTTTCCTTGCAACTTCTTTGACTCTTTGCTTATATTGAGGCTGCTAGCTTGTAGCTGGCTCTGAGCTCTTGATAGCTTTAGCTTTAGCTACTCTGCCTTTGTTAGTTTCTGTTTTGCTGTTTGTTGTTTGTTTTCTGCTGTGTGAAGGTAATTTAAGTGTTTGATTTGGGTTGCTGTTCTAAACATTCAAAAAACATTTGAGAATCTGTGTTGAGTGAGGACTCACACTGAGGACTGTCTGCCTGTGTTCCTGTGCTTGTCGTGCACAGGCTTGCTAGCTGATCTTTCAGTCACTGGTCAAGGCCGATAACACTGGCAATCAGTTGATTCTGGTCCCTGGCTGGTCAACAAGGGCATCTCTATTTATCATGTCATCCAGTGTTATGCTTGCTTTATTGTTTTTTAGTTGTTGCCATTTAACACTACTAACTTTAACTGAAGGTTAACTAATAACAACTTTATTGTTTTCCTTCTATAAATGAACCCATAGGTTTAACTACATGTAATATAAAGTAAAAATACATAGTTATCTACAGTAATGATAGTATTTACAGGGTATTTTTGCTTTACAACAGTGTTTTTCACTAATAAAGACAGATAGACATCTTTAAATGTACTCTAAGCATAAAATGACTTGATTTGTTATATATCACAGTTACATGGATCTTTGGGCCTTTGGACTTGCCAGAAAAAATGTCTGTAAGTGTTTCCTCCTTAACCTCTGGCTAAGTGGATGGCACAACACAGAAGAGCTAACTCATCATGCCAGGACTCTGCAGTCTATTCATACTTATAGGCGAGTGGCCACTCTTTCAATGATGAGGATGTACACATCCTGGACAGGGAGGAACTCTGGTTTGAGCGAGGAGTCAATGAGGTTACGTGAAAAGGGAAAGACCATCTCTGAATCGAGGAGGGGGACTAAGGGTACATCTGTCACCATCTTACAATGCTGTGATTGCAGCCATTCCCCCACTCTCTGTGAATGCTACTTACGGCCATTGATCAATGGTCATGACAAATTGCATATTAATGATCAAGAAACTGACCGTGTGGCCCATTGTTCATCAGTGGTGCTAGTTTTAGTCATTGTGCAAATGTACTGTAAGGTTGGGGAAACCTGCAGTCAATGGAGACTGAAGAAGTCAGTTGGATGAGCGACGAAACGTTTCTCCCACTGAAAACGGGAACAGAATTAACTTTTTGAAAGTCAGTTCCATTGCTACACTAAATGTACAAATCATGTAATTAACCAGTTGTAAATGGATGTAAGAAAAGACCTGATAGTCCTGATCGTGTTTATGGGCTTTAAACACCTATTCAGATTCATGATGTGTAAGTAGAAGGCTGCGATACTTGGTAGTAGTAGTGTAACATTCAGAGAAATTCACAAAGGACACAGAAACCAGCCCTATGCTCTGTTTCCATCATAAATCACACAGCATGACGATAACGTTGAAACTCAACACCTCAAGATCTCACTGGGCTTGAGAGGCCCTTAAAAAACACGGAGAGGTTGACAGATACAGAGGACATGCAAACTACAAGACCGATAGCTTGAAGGAAAAAATCACCTTCAGCTTTAAAATGAATGATGATTTTGATGTATGACTTAAAGATAGGCCCACATGTGCTTGTTCAGCATTTCCCTCTGTTTTACATTGTTTACAGTGT